TGCCCCTGGAGGAAGGTCACATCCCTGACGGGTGGCCCCTCTTAGAACAGACGTGTTCCATACTCCGCTGGCTTTTCCTATCTCGGAGTCTGGGCCGTTAGCTGTGGGGGTGGCAGGTTTCATAGGACATGCCCCCAGGGCCCTTCACTAGGGGATATCACTAGGGGTCACAGGAGCTCCTCCCACGAGCTTGGGGCCGAGGAGGGAAATGGGATGTGCGCCTCTCATTAAAACTTTTCTTCCAGAAAAAGGTAAGTGGAAATTAATCTAGTATTTATGGACCTACTTAAATCATGCATTTGCTCAGCAAAGACAGGCTTGAAGGAGTTTCTATTCTCTTCAGAGAGAAAAAAGATCACTTCTGAAAATACACCACCTTAAATTTGGAGTGAGCAGCACTTTGTCCATGTTTGCAGAAAAGCTAAATCAGTGTCTTGGGACTAAGCAGACAGCACACGTCCAGAGATGCGTGTTTCATGGATGTGGCTCCATGTTAGCCCTGCCGCTCATCACTAACACAGCCCGTGTCACCGCGGTGGCCTTGGCCACTCCAGCGCTCTCAGACCACCCCACTCCCTGCCTCCCGGGGAAGATGCAGGCCATCAGCGGAAACCCTTTCCGCTTGGAACCACCCAGCCCCCGGAAGGTCCTGCCTGGGCCCCAACCTCCACTGCTTCCCTCCCACACAGAGGGATGGGCTGTGCATCCCGCCCAGCCAGAGGGCTGCGGGTAACACAAAGCACTCAGGGAAGAAGGAAAAATAGCCGCGCTTGCTTGTTTCCCAGGAATCAGGATAAAGGTTATGAAAACAGAGTATTTAGGGGGGGAAAATATGGGGACCGTTTCCTCTTATTATAGACTACCTACAAGGAGAAGCAATTGGATATGGAAATAAGAAGTACTTTACAAACCAAAAGGAAGTGTGTAACAAGCAAGGGGAAAACTGGATGGTATCATCACACTATGGATTGTTTCCCTTACACATTTTTTTTTTTAAAAAACTGAAAGGAAAAGCAAACACGAATCAGCAGCAGCTGAAGGGGAAGGGTGGGTGAGGGAAGGGAAAAGTCACGAGAAGGACACAGAAATGTGGGCTTTTTAGGTTCAAAAGGAACAACCGAAAGTTCAATTGCTCCAAATGGTCTGCTTAAAGGGCGACTTAAAATAAATGGACCTGAAAGCCATTTATAGAGGGGTGAGAAGATAACACAGCTATTATTGGGTTTTTGCACTTAAAATAAAAAGGAGACTTTTCCTGTGAATTTTCAACAAAAAAGCGTTCAAATTAAACATCAGGATTGTGGAAGCTCACACTTAGGAGAAAAGAACTGTCGACTCAGAGGTTGGTGTAATCAATAGGAAGGAAATGGCCACTGTGAAATCTGCTGACGCTGCAAGGACTAGACAAAGACTATAAAAAATTATGTTATGCAAATGACACTATATCAACTATGATATTTTATTTTTTGAATACACACACACACACACACACACACACACACACACTCTCTAGAGGCCTGGTGCACAAATTCGTGCATGGGTGGGGTCAGGCCAGCCTGCCCTGATTGCAATTGATTGGGCCAGGCCAGCTGGGGGGGTCAGGGTGGACTGTGGGAGACTGGCTGCCTGGCCCCATGCCCTGGTTGAACTCCCGGTTGAGGAAACAATTTGCATATTAGCCTTTTATTATATAGGACATATTTTATTTCAGAGAGGAAGAGAGAGAAATATCAATGATAAGAGTGAACCATTGATCGGCTGCCTCCTGCAGGCCCTGTACAGGGGTCTGAGCCACCTAGGCATGTGCCCTGATTGGGAATTGAACCATGACCTGCTGGTTCATAGGTTGACACTCAACCACTGAGCCACACCAGCTGAGCATTATGAAATTTTAAGAATTGGGGACGAAGATAAAATGAAAAAATAGTTTAGTAAAAATGGGGAACTAAAAAAAGATGTTTTAAATGTTAAAGGGCCCACAAACACTACAGAGGGAAAGGTAACTGTTACAAAAACAAACAGTAGGCAGCAAATTAGAGGAAGAAGAAAATATGGAACATGGGGAAGATGGAAGTCCTCTGAGAAATAGGGGTCATCTTTTAATCCGAAAAGTGGACAACCTGATTCGTCCTTTGACTCTTAACTTATTTTTTCACTTGGGCCACGCCATTTTTTAACCTAAGTTATTTCTTTACTAAGAATTAAGGAACTCACTGAATTTGGCTACATCGTTTTTATACTGCAATCTTTATAGTCCATGACCAAATTTTTTTTTTTCATGACCAAATTCTTACCAATCATTTTTGTTGTTATTAATCCTCAACTTCACATCAATTGGTTGCCTCTCCTGTGAGCCCCAACCAGGAGGCGGGGAACCTGCAACCCAGGTATGTACCCTTGACTGGAATTGAACCCATGACCCTTTCCATTTGAGGGCCAACCCTCTAGCCACTGAGCAACACCAGCCAGGGCAAATTCTGACCAATCTTAATTCATTAAAAAGGCAAACCAACAAAATATCACCTAATGTGTTAGTCATTTGGCTTACCCTTCCCCCCAGAAATCCTAATTCAGGGGAAAGAAAATCTCAAGATGTTTGGAAATATCTCCTTCACAGGCCTTGACTTCAATGGACCCCCCAACATTTCTTCTTTTATTTAAAAAATATATATATATATATATCCTCTACAGGACCTTGTGGTTCGCTATGTCCATAAAGGAAGCTGAAAGTATGTGATTTGTGGTGGTGACTAAGCACAGAGCTATACTGTACCACTAGAACTCAAAGTATACCACACACACACACACACACACACACACACGCACGCACACACCCTTTTCTGTCTTTTACACCTGGAGGAGGGGGAGGGTATTTTGTGCAAGATCCTTGGATGGCTCCGATAAGCCACCCCTGGCCCTGGATAGGACCCCCTCCACCCCCATTCCCACCTCCACCCAGACTCAAAACCCTACTTCCACGGCTACAGGCTGTAATCTGGCCTAATTTTAGCACTGCCCTGAACATTCAACTATGGAACTACTTGGGCCCTACTTCATCTTCCCACACTTACTAAAGCACTGTGGTTTATGTAAACTGTCACTTCTCGTTCCACTGTTCCAAAATGCTGGGGGCTTTTAAAAATCCTTTAAGATAATGGCTTTAATTCAATTAATTCAATAGATTCCTCTTTTGATCTAATAACTAACTTTCAAAGGTTCATTTTTAAGAAAAAGTGTGCATTTTTAAAACCAGGGGACGCTGTGATTTCCCCCCCCCCCCCCGTGGGGGGCCCTCACACTCGCCATCCTCGGGGCCGGAGCCCTGGCCGCCCTGGGATCTTCCAGCTGCTGGGCCCGTTCCCAGGTCTCCAGGCTATTCCTGAACCCCATTAATCCGGCCGGAGCTCATTTGTTATCCAGCACACCCATTAATCAGTGACACAGAAACTGCTGGCCCACAACTGTCCTCGCATTCTCGGCTGCAGGCAACCCCATGTCCATCTTCTCAGACCTCTGTTCCAATTATAGTGCCGCCTCCCAGAAGTTCAGCCGCTCTCCCGGCTAACTGCGGTTCTTCTCAGCAGAGCAAGATGAGAACGCTCCAGCCAGCTGCCTTCACAGCGGAGCACACAGAGTCTTCAGGTTCTGACAGCCCCTGGCACCGTTTTAACTTTAGCTCTTAGCTGTCTACCGATGGTTTGGTCAGGGCCCAAGAAACTGAGGACCCGACCCACTGCCTAGAAGGGCATCATCAAACCTCTGGATTGCAAAGCCTTCAGCAAAGTAACTGCAAGCCCATATCCTGCTTCCTTACTAATGACTTCTGGGTAGCACTACCGCAAAGATGACTTTTACATCAAGGACCTCTTTTCACCGTATTCTCCTAAGAAACTTAGGCATGTATTTCATTTCATTGATTTCAGAGAGGAAGGAAGAGGGAGAGAGAGAGAGGGAAATGATGAGAGAGATTCACGGATTGGCTGCCTCCTGCACACTCCACACTGGGGACCATGCCTGCAACCTGGGTATGTGCCCTGACTGGGAATTGAACCATGACCTCCTGGTTCATGGGTTGATGCTCAACCACTGAGCTATGCTGGCTAGATGACATGTATTTCTTTTAAGCAATAAGAACTCATAGCTCACAGAGGCCACACAGGAAGACAAAACACACTTCTGTAGAAGTGGGTAATAGGCTACAAATCGGAAGACCCAAATGAGGGCTATATCACAACTAGAGGCCCGGTGCATGAATTCGTGCACGGGTGGGGTTCAGTCAGGCTGCCCTGATTGGGGCCGATTGGGCTACAGGGAAGGGATGTGGGAAGTTGGCCAGCCAGCCCTGCCCCCAATTGGGCTGGTTGGCTGGCTGTAGTGAGTGTGATAGCCACCAGTTGTTCTGGTCATTCCATGGCTTGGCTTTTATATATATATATGTCTCAAATCAACCAAAACTGTCTTCCAAGAACATTTAAAAAGCTTCTGTTTAGGAAATTCAACAGATCCACACTTTGAATATTCAATGATGCGAACACAGTCTACAATAGTTGTACCAACCTTGGGACACATACATTACTATCAAAAAGGAACAGAAACCAAGCCTTAAAAGCCCCAAGATGGGGGGACTCATTGGAATTATTTGACAGCAATGTTTCCCATAGGAAACCTTGTCAGTTTGGGCTTAGCCCTCAATCCAGGTCACTGATTCTCACAGTTATCAGAAGAGCATAATTTTAAGATGTTACACCATGAAGGGAAAACAAACACACTTATAACCCCCAGAGATAAAGTGAATGCTAAGTTCCTATAGGAGGCACCTCGGGGAGAGCTTCTCAGAGATAAGGAAAGCTATGATTCCGATTTCTTGGCCTCTCCAGAGACCAAGAATCATCTGATTCCTAAAACACGATAAATGCTCAAGAGCTCTACACTCTGGTTGGGTGTGATTTATGAATTTCGGAAGGGTGGGTCCACGTGCAATGCCGAGCTCTCAGGCCTACCTGGCCTTGTGAGGCGTATCAGAGAGATGTACACATCGTGGCAGTCTCTCTCCTGGGGTATGATGAGCTGTAAGAGCTGGAAGTTCTTGCAACGAATCAGCAGATGGCATCCAGTAGCTGTGGTTGCCTGTTTCTCGATGGTGGAAATCTGGCTGTGAAGAATCTGCAACCGGAAGCGAATGTGGATAAGCTAAGCACAAACACCTGATCAGCTGGAGGAGGAGTGACCCAGATCTCGGAGCTACACAGATAGACAGGCTACTCTCCCCATCCGTCAGCTAGCTCAGCGCCTGCACTCAGATAACAAGGACTGAGATGTTTTGGGAAAGAATCAACTATCTACATTTCCCATTCTGTTTTTTCTATGTCAAACTTCCGGATACCCAGGCTCACGATTTGAAGCCAAGGACTCAGCATACTCTTTTGCACAAGCCCGGGGCAAGGGAACATTTTGGTAGCCAGATGTTGATTGCGGTTAATAGCTCCAATGAAAGAAGGTCATGAGAAGCTAGTAAAATAAATCTTGCAATCAACGAAAGTCAGAGATCACTCCTCTGGGAGGGGCCACCGGGCTCCCTAATTCCACGTGGGATGCTCAAGTTCAATAGCAACTTGCACTTGTTGTTGGGGGTCAGGCTGGCTGCAGAGGAGGTTATTTTAAGGGAAATCATGCTGAAGGGCATGTCCGTTGTCTCAGGAGTGTCTCTGCTCAGTCCTCCATGGCAAGCATTTCATTCTTTCAATTCCTCTCCTGCAAGTAGTGCCTGCCACCTTCAGCTGCAAACAGAACCATGTCTATGGAATAGAGAAAAGGCCAATCTACAAGTCTGGCCCTGGTCATGATGTCATGGTGAGCACGCTATATAAAATAAGGAATATCTAGTCTCATGATTATATAGCAGAAATAACTGATAATGTTTCCCTAGCTTTCCTTCCTTCCTTCCTTCCTTCCTTCCTTCCTTCCTTCCTTCCTTCCTTCCTTCCTTCCTCCCTCCCTCCCTCCCTCCCTCCCTCCCTCCCTCCCTCCCTCCCTCCCTCCTCCTTTCCTACCTCCCTTCCTTTTAATTATCAGAAAAGTGGAGACAACAGAATAAAATGACTGTATCTGGGATTGACATTCCAGAATCTCTACTCGAAAGCTGTGACATGAATAACTTATATCTCTGGCTCTTTCTAGGTCCTTCTTTGAGAATAGTCAAACAATTAGTGTTTAAAATGAATATGTAGATGAAGTAGATTGGACTCTGTACAAAAAAAGGCGAAGGCCACATTCTCCAAACAGCCCCCCCCCCCGCCCCCATACCCACATACCAAGCGTCCGCCCACCTCACCTTGGGGACAAACAAAAAATGGAGGATGGAGCTCTCTCTACTTCAAACAATAAACAAGGAATGCATACCCATGTTTCCTTTCTTGTGTCGGGCGCGTTTTCCACGAATATGACATGAGTAGCCGTCAAATACAGAGTTCCTAGGGCTGCTTTTTTGGGAGATATTCGATCTAGCAAGCGGACGTTTTCCACCTAGGAAGAGCAGTTTGACACAGGCATGGTTAAAGCACCGGAGCTAGTCAGGAAAGTGAAAAACAAGTAGGTAAGCTTGTACTTAATCCAAAATGCAATTGGAGAATTTTCCCAATAAGAAAATAAAACACAAAATTCCCCCTTAAATTAATTAATCTCAAAATATAAATCTGTATATCAAAAGATAAAATTTCCCCAATTACTTAAATATAACCTCTAATGTACCACAAAATATTTGTAAAACCTCTTCTTTAAGATTACCCTCTGAAATAGGTCAGCATTTTCATTTCATTGTAATTATATAATTCTAATTTAAGGCAGGTAATATGTGCATCAAAGTTCAGCATTCACACAATAACTATGTACGAATTATTTTATATTAAAAAGAAAACATACTTTCCTATGTGTTTCATGGATGTAGAAATCATTTCAAGGCTGTTTGCTTCCACATAAATGAGCAGGAAAATAGAAATACACATCTGGGAGCAAAAAATATCAGAGAAGTGTTCTGTATATTTCCAAGGAAAACCTCTCAAATTAAGATGTTCACGTTCACTTATAGTAAAATCTCTCTAACAAATGCAATTCTCACCACTGAGCTAATTTGAACTGTTTGGAGAGATTTCTTACAAATATATTTTTTTTAATCAAGCATATATTTCTTACATGCAAAGCAATTTCAAGGATGTGTGCACCAGGATCATTCCAATATGAAATGTGATGGAAAGGACAAGACAATTTCTCCAGGGCAAGTGAAAAACTGAAGATGGACGATGATTCTCCCCTCATCCGAGTCAGAATGGCTACTTGCCATTCATGAGGCAGCTTAGGGACTAGTGGATTGTATTTGCTCCATTCTTTAGCCCAATGGAGAAGCTGTGGTCCTGAGGTGACTGGAGAGCCCAAGGCTTCTCAACTGCTCTGAGGAAGACCTAGGTGCGTATCCAACCTAATGAACACAGCAAGGACAACACCAAGGGCAAACAGCTCTCAAGACACCCATCATCCAGTTTCCTCTGAGCCCTTAGAACCAAACCAGTCTTCCAGGTCCCATCCCATCTGTTCCCAATTTCCAGGGGTCTAATGAGGTAAATAAAGCATTAGGTACTTAAAATATTTTCTTCAGTCAGACCATTTACGCCAGGGTGGTTGCATACTTCTTGAGACTTGGTTGTTTCTTAAAGATGTTCACTTAAGAACCTATCGGCTTCCGGTTTTTAAAAAGTACTTCTGTTGTTATTGACATGCTTCACATTCTCTCAATGGGTCTCCATCCCTCTGTCTCTTTCGTCAATGGTCTTCATATCATTGGTTTACTTTCCTCCTAGGGGACCATCATTCCTTACATATTCATCAGAACAGTTTATACAGGAAGGACAGTAGCCTATGACCTAATTTTAAGTTTTATAACTGATTCTTTACCAAGCTCTTTTATTGGTCCTAATGCTTTTTTTTTCCCCAATAAAGTCACTTGGATCTTCAATAAAGTCATTTGAGTAGAGAGGAATATTTTCTATAATAATTTGTCTTTTCCTTTCCAGTATTTATACCTCTTTTCCTCCTTGTTTAATGACACGAACTAGAACCTTCAAAATCATTTTTAAAAATAACAGCTTTATTGAAATATAATTCACATTTCATACAATTTAAAGTATACTATTCAATGGTTTTAAGTATATTCATTTCTCTTGGATGTACATACCAGTACCTAGGAATGGAATTGCTGGATCAGATGATAACTCTTTGCTTAACCTCTATAGGAACTTTCAGACTGTTTTCCAAAGTGGCCATATCATTTTATATTCCTACCAAGCATGAGGGTTCCAAAGTTTCCACATATCTGCCAATGCTTGTTGTAATCTCTTTTTTTATTACAGCCATTCTGCTAGGAGTGAGATGGTCTCTCACTATAATTTTGATTGGCATTTCTCTGACGATTGATGATGTTGAGCATATTTTCCTGTGCACCCCTGTTTTTGATGGGAACACTCAATATCTCACCACCGAATTTGACTTTTTTTTTTTTATCGCATTGTGGAAGTGATCCATTCTTAGTTTATTGAGTTTTAATTTTGAAAATCAGGAATAAACAGTATGCCATTTTAATAATACTTGGATGAATTATTTGCTTTCTAACATTAGTCCTGTGTTATCAATAGTAATAGATTTCTTAGTTATTAAAGAAGTCAGATTGTTGGTATATGACCAACTTGGAGTTGGTGTATTGATGTTTTAATACTGATTACATTTTATCTGTGCTAATTGTTTTGTTGGCAGTATTTTTGTTGTTTGCATCTATGCTTTTAAGAGAGATTGGCTATTTGTGCTACTTTTATTAGGTGAATTCATCATGGCTATGATTATATCAATTGATTAGAAAGATTTATTTTTAAATAATTAATTACTCGAAACACTTTTTTATTCAGAAATAACACTTTAATAATTATTTCAATGTCTTAAATGGTTACAAATATTTCAATATTTCCATTTCTTACTAAACCTCATTTGGTGGCTATTTTACTTACAAATTATCTCCTAATGGCTGATTTTCAATTCTTACAATGCTTTAATTCTTATCTGTGGATACATATCTCTCTCTTTATCTCTTCTCTCACTCCTACTATTATAAATTATGTTCTTCCTTTTCTGTGGCTAGATATGCTAAGGTTTTCCTTTTATATTTTAAAATATATTTTGTATTGATTTCAGAGAGGAAGGGAGAGAGAATACAAACATCAATGATGAGAGAGAATCATTGAACAGTTGCCTTCTGCACACCCCATACTGGAGATTGAGCCCACAACCCAGCATGTGGCCTGGCCAGGAATGGAATCGTGACCTCATAGGTCCACACTCCACCATTGAGCCTCGCCAGCCAAGCACAACGATTTTTCCTCAAAGTAACAGATCTTGGGCTTATTAATGTAATAATTTTTCTCTTTTGAATTACTAATTACGGCTTGTGCTTGTTAATAAATGTTTTAACTTGGTTTCTGCGGGTATATATGTGGTTTTGGTTTCTTTGTTCATTTCCAAAAGCTCAGGTTTAATAGTCAGCTCAATAAATTTTATTCTTCTTGTTTAGTAACAAAATTTTAAGTCCAATAATTTCCTTCCAAAGTAAATTTTTGGCTGCATGTTATGAGTTTTGCATGCAGTATTAGCATTCTTGCTTTCCAGATAGACTATAACTGGAGTTTTTATTTCTTCTTTGACCCAAGAGTTTTTAAGGAGAATACTTTTTAATTCCCACATGATTGGATTACTTTATTCAAACTTTTGTCATTAAACATTCTATTTTAAACTAACTCCAACAAGATATTATGAAAGAGAGTTGTGGGAAGAGAGGAGCAAGGGGATATATTATTTTTGGAACATTTCTATGGGAAAAAACTAATTTGCATGCTAAAATGGGCCTAACTAAATTAAGCAGCGGTCCGGGGTGATGTGCCAGTTAATAAAACAAAACTTTATTGAGATAAGCATACTGAACATAGGGTAATATTTTGAGACAAAAAGATCTTAGTGTGAATTACTCTCCCTATGGAAGTAATTATTAGATTATTTGTAGAAAACCTCAGTTGGTGGTAGAATAGAATACTTCATGTCTTCCTGCTATCTGTGGAGGCCGCTGCAGGAGAGTTACTTTCCAAAATTTGGCAAAAGTTCTTACCCATCCCACATCTGTCCAGAGTATTTTGAAGTAGAAGTAGGAAAAAAGAGAAAAAACACAATTAGGGAAACACCAACAGCATGATTTCCCAGTACTGTGTCACAACAAAAGAAACAACTGGCATGGCATGGCGTGTAAAGGTAATAAGGATTAAAATTCATGGTGGGTGGGAAGAGATCAACCTAACAACTTGTATGCAGCCCTAACTGGCTTGGCTCAGTGGATAGAGAGTCAGCCTGCGGACTCAAGGGTCCCAGGTTTGATCTCGGTCCAGGGCATGTACTTTGGTTGCAGGCACATCTCCAGTAGGAGGTGTGCAGGAGGCAGCTGATTGATGTTTCTCTCTCATTGATGTTTCTAATTCTCTCTCCCTCTCCCTTCCTTTATGTAACAAAATCAATAAAATATATATATATATATATATATATATATATTTTTTTTTTTAAAGAACTTGTATGCATATATGCATAACCCATGGACACAGGGTGAAGGTTTGGAGCCAGTGAAGGCATGGAGCTGCGAGTGAGGTGGGCTAGAAGGGATCAATAAGGGGAAAAGAGGACATAGGTAATATTTTCAACAATAAAGGTTTTTGTTTTTTTTTAATAAGTAAAATAAAATTAAAACAGAACTAAAATTCAGTTGTCTGAGAAATTCTGTGAAGGTCAGGACCCTGCTCAGTTCCATCACGTGGCTTTCACTAAGCCAGAACATTCTTGACTGCGATTCTAGAGCCAGTCAACTGGAGATAAAATGAAATGAATCTTGAGAACTTTGCCACCAGCTTGAAAACCCACTGGCTCAATTACTCTGCCTCGTTGTTCAGAGAACTTAATGTTTTCTCACAATGAGTTCTATGATAATAAAGCCTCTTGCATCCTTGGAGAGAGATGGCAGCTTTTCCAGACAAAGTTACTGAAATTCCTTTACATTTTCCTAGAAGCCCCATGCTGAAGACATCCTAGGTGTTCCCGCTCTGCAAATGGCAGCTCATCTGTGCAAAGCATTACAACAGGTCACCAATTCTTGCGTATACATTTTCCACATTCTGACATTTCTGAAAATGCAAGGCATCTTATGAGTAAAGTGGTAAGAAGCCATGGTGTCATTCTCTTGGCAGTGCTTTTGCCTTTCTTTATGGAACATAAAGTCTTGGTGCATCTCACAATCACTGAGGCCCCAGATTTGCTGAAACGCAGTGAAGTTTGTAGTCATTGGCATATAGATGGCACCTGAAACCATGAGACTAAAAGACGCTACTTAGAGAGAGCATGAGGAGCGGGGAAGAGGAGATTTGAAGAAATCCAATGGTTAAAGGATGGACCAA